GCTTTAGAATATCGATACAGTATCGGTAAAAGAAATATTGCGATTTTTCAGTGTATCGATATTTTCTTACACCCCTAGTCATGGGTAGGTGTAATCCATCACACCTGCCTGGTAGCCTAATGAAGATGACCACATCATTTACATAAATTTCTAAAAATTATAAAATTACTTGATATCTTAACTTTTAAAAAACATATTTTTACTCCCCATACCTCTTTTTGAGTAATAAATGTGAATACTTTTGACACCTCTGGCTTCAGTAATGAACGGTTCTGATTAAAATAAATGGTAACTGTTAGACTTTACAAAATAAAAATGTATTTATACTATTAATATGACATACATCTGGWTTAAGAAACTAGTTCAGTGTTTGCTGTAAATCCTCATGATTGTCTTGTTCACCATTTTTAGGACTTTATTGTTGTTTGGAAAAAATATGACAAAAGACAAATTATTTTGAACAGAAATTTCTTAATTTCATAGAAAGCTAAAAACACAAAAGCTTTTTTCCAGCTTTTATAGTTACTTTTGCTTTTTTTGTATTATGACAACAATTATCAACAGCTTACAAAAAAACCTATTGTTTTGTAGATCTGGTTTTTATAAATCCAAAATAAGAGGAGTCGGTAGGTTCAGCTAATTACAGCTGCATCAGATTTAATAAAGCCCCGGTAATTACCTAAATGAGAAATTAAAAACATTGCATGTTCATCAGAAATAATACTCCCCAAAACAACTGTTTTTTTTCTTTTTCATATTTTCTGTTGTATTTATAAAGTGCCAAAAGGAAAATGGTTAAAAGTCGTTAACACATTAAGAAACTAAATTGATAGAACAACTATTAGCACACAACTCAGAATGCKTTTTAATAGGAAAAACATTAAGACAGCTTTCCCTGAAGAATCTGTGCAAATTAAAAAGTTAAAAAATATAAATAAAACTTGCAGACAATTGTAGTTATTAAAAACATGTTAGTGAAATGTTTTCTTCATGTTCAAACGTGGTTTATGTTACTGATTGGAGCTTCATCAGCTTATTGCAACATTTTATTAGCTATTTTATAAAATACTAGAAGTCTGTGCTGCTTTACATTACTTTTAATATTCCATATAAAAAAAGCAGTTTTATTTGTAGCTGATGAGACAAAGCTCATTTCATTGTGTTTCATTACGTCGCTGCTGGTCTGGAGCCTTTAAATTTTACAAAATCATTTTAAAATGTTCCCAGTTGTTGCACATTGATAGAATAAAACATGAAGTTATTTATATTATTTTATATAAAACATTAGGTTTAAGTTTGTAACAAACAAAGRCACAGGTAAGTGTTTTCCTCCTTGTCTTTGTTTATTAACTAAACTTTAAACTTTAAGGTAAATGAGGCAGAACAAACATATACAGTAGATCTGCACATGGATCCTGCTCCTTCCTGTTTGTTGACCAATAGTAGAGGAGCTAAACCACAAAGCTCCGCCCACCGTATTTGCATAATGAGGCAGAAATGCATAAGGTAAAGTAAAAACAGGAGACAGAGAAGTGTAAAAGCAACACATGGAAATAAAAGGACTTGTGGGAAAAATTATAAATCATAATTTAATATGCTAATTTAAGAGAGACAGGTGCATGTACAGGTAAAAAGAACACCAAAAAAAAATTAAAAACAGTAAAATGTAAATTATGTGGTAAATGTTATAGTTTATTGGAACTAAGCTGGAAAAATAAATATGAAGGTCAGTTAAATTATAAAACGAGGTACATTTCTCATTTTTTAATCAAATTGGTGCATTTTATGCGTGTTTATTTATTGGTTTTATTTCTAATCATGTCAGTTTCAGTTCTCCATATGTGCCATCCTATGTGGCACCTCTACCAGATCTTATTATATTTTTACTCTATTAACTAAATTTGAAACTATTAGTTTCCTGTGTGAACAAAACTTTGGTGATTGTGTCCCTCCAGTTACAAAAATGAAAAAAAAAAAAAAAAAAAAAAAAAAAAAAAAACTAAACAAATCTTGCCTGCAGAGACACAAAAGCAAGATTTTTAAAGGAAATTTACAAAAAACAGGCATCATGTTAATCCCAACCACTGGCATTCTCTGTAAATGTTCCTTTCTCTGCTGTTCAAAGCTAACAATAATGTAGCCACATAAACTCCTAATCCCACTGTCAAGTTGCATAATCCACCAACAGTCTGGATTCTTTGCTTCAAAATAACCTTTTCAGAGGAACAAAAAAACCTCAAAAGTCTTCAGCAAGTTCTCATATAAGACCTCAGATCCAAACCGGCTCTTTTTCTGATCCTCCCACTGTTGTCGAGTCAGAGGTTTCCCAAGAAAGGCTTTATAATCGGCTGAGATTGTAAATCCGTGATTTGCTTCAACATGATTAGTGATAAAGGAACATGGCTGCYAGCAGAAGGTAGACACGGGATCAGTGATGTGAACCATGCTGTACAACCCACTGTTTATTGTTTCTGTGTCAGGAGATTTACAGCTTTAACTCCTGAGTGCTGCTTCTGTTAAACTTCCAACAAGCRTCTTCCTGCAGGTGAGGAATTCCTGTGGAATCAGCAGGAAGTGGAATTCTGCAGATTCCTGCTGGGACTTTATAAACCTTAAAAGGATCAATAAATAAAACATGTTTCTCATATTTTGACACATATTTATACTAGTAAATTATTCTAAGTAGTTATCCAGTGGGGAAAAAAAGTTTCTAATATTTAATGGTGATATACAGTAAATAAGCAAACAATGAGAATAAACGTATCATGAAGAGTCAGTAAAATTCAACATGAATGCATAATTAATTTTGGAGATATTTTTGTAATATTTCTTGTTAATGTAAAAAGTATTTCTCAACAATTGTGAATATTGCATTTAATTTGTACTATATTTATTGTAATTTAAAATACATTAAACAGGATTGTGCCACAGTGAAGCCTGCTTTTAACCATAATGTGACAAAAATAAAAAGTTGTGATATAAAACCAGTGTAGGTTGATTGTGAAGGAATGTTAGTTTAAATTAAACTGGCATTAAAGTGCAAACAGGGAAAACACAGCTACTATCAAATGTTTGCTCAATATTTGGACAACAAACTGAAATAAAACTAGTTTTTTGTTAGCGCAGGTTGATTAGCTGAATCCTGTTGATGCTAAAGGTGAATCAGTTATAAATAGTTGTTTTCTGAGAGTTTCATTTCAATCTATCCATTGGTTCATGAGATATTTTGCTAACAGGCAGGTAGTTTGATTGCCTACCTTTCRTGGCAGCAGGGTTAAAATGCATTGTTTTATGCACCGTACGGRCACGGTTTTCAAAAATAAGATTTTGTTTCATATCTTCTCCTGTGCTCATTTTCAGCTTTTTTCTTTTTTTTTTTTGTAAAGGGACAAGCTGCACCTTTTTACACCACCAAGAAATTGCCTCATTAGTAGTTTTATTTTGAAGGGATACTTCCTGTCCTCGCACACCTGCTGTCTAATTACCACTCACACACCTGCTCCTCATAGCTCGTCAGGCCCTCTGGTAGAGATTTTGTTTTTCTTTGCTCTCTGCCACGTCATGGAGGATTAGTTCTCTTTAATGTTTTACATTTATTTTTTTTATCTTTGAATTGTAATTTTTATTTCTTTTTCTAATGAATCCAGTGCTCTACTTTTTTTATTTTATTTTTATTTATTTTTTGTGGCACTTTAAGCCTTAAGCTAATATATACACTCACCGGCCACTTTATTAGGTACACCACGCTAGTATTGGGTTGGACCCCCTTTTGCC